AGTAATTACTTGAGGGAAGCAATACGATCGATAAGGTCTGAAGGCACAATTTCATGCTGAAAAAAGTAAAATAAAATGGGTCACAAATTTTAATAATGAATTTAGAATTCTAAAAATAATAGAAACTAAAATCAGATGATTACATTAAAACATCATAACTCAAAATCAGATCATTATATTAAAAAATCATAATTCACACATACGTTTCTCATGCCCATTTCGACGGCAGTTAGAACCCTAAAATCATCTTTGGAGAGATATCTCAAAACGTCTACGTCCAGCTTCATGTTCTGTTCTTTTTCTTATTCACTACAATTTTACTTCGAAACACAAGAATTCAGTTCTGAGAAAAAACAAAAAAAAAAGGGCAAATGGCGAAGATGAAGCGTCGAGTAACGGGTTTTAGTAAAGGTATGAACAAAAAAAATTAACCTGAACAACCGAATGAGTCGCAGATTGGGGAGGTGCAGGCGCGGCAGCAAAGATGAAAGAGCAAATGACCGAATGAGGTACGGGGTTGGGCAAGCGCAGAAGCGGCGGCAAAGAGAGACTGTCCGCTAAGATTGAAAAAATTTGGGAATTTAGTTAGACTTGTACACAGTTAGATTAAAACATTATGGGAATTTTGTTGGATTTCTGCATAGGCGGAATAAAATTGATTTAGGGTTTAGGATGGTAAAACATAACAAGGATTATGCATTTAGGTTTTCTTATAAAAATTATTTTAAATGAAAAAATATTTTACGAATTTTTTAAATAAAAAAATTGATGAATATTAATATTTAATTTAAAATATAAATATTTAAATTATTTAATTTTATTAAAATTAAAAAATATTTTTTAATAAATCATTCGATGTAATTAAATTTTTTATTTATAAATTAAATAAATTTTACTATCATAAACTTTACATAAATCCCTTATGATATATTATTTTCTCCCGTAATATCTTGAGTTTTTCCTTTTCAAATGAAATTTTATATTTTAATATTTATTTCTGTAAGTGTAAATTAATTTTCAGTTAAATTTTTAATAAAAAGACAATACATCCCTTATACTCTATTTCAACAAAGCCATGATAAGGAGAGAAGCGAGGACACCCAGGAAAGAGGAACCATACGCTAAAAGCAAAGGAGGGTGGACAAGCACGCCAAGGAATCCATGAGATGGGGATAGCAACGCTGGTGAGAAACAAACTTCTTTGCTCTAGCAGGGACGGAATCGTGCAGGGCAAGTGTTTTTGAGAAGGAAGTATGTATGTGGAAGAGAGCATAATGTCGAGTAAAATTGCTTCAACTAAGAAAGGGGTATGCACAGGTGTTATGCTCCTACTTAAGGAGAGAGAAGATGCATGATGGTCTTTTTACACTCTCAAAAACGCTAACTTCTTATGACAATTTCCTTAAACATCATCGTGCATTTTCTCTTTTATCATAAGAATTCAGGTATCAGAACAAGGAAGTAAACCGTGAAGAAGTAAAAGCAAGTAGACAGTCGAAATACTAAGGTTTTTGAGTAGGCTTAGGCCCAAACATTAACTTAATTCGGGGTTTGGCTCGTTTGGGCACTAGTCGGATTTAGTAAATGTTTGCTTAAATCTCTCCGTTATTAATGAAAAAGAAAAGTTAATCTTTTATATTCTTACTTAATAAGAATGACCGAAAGAGATTTGAATTGAAACTTGAAAACAGTACATAATTGAGTGAGTACAATATTACGAGTATATTTTTGATATGTGATATAGGTGTAGCCCTAAGATGAAAAAGTAAAAAAAAAAATTATCGATTGAAAGTTAAATAATTTTGAAAAATTAAGTTAGTTCTTTAAATACATCGATTAAAATTGATTTAGATTTAAGATAGTAAATACATAATAAATATAATATAATGTATTAATTGAATTTAACGGTCGATCAAGTCATTCAGGCTTAGAAAGAGCCATTTCCCTCACGTAGGTTCAACTTCTTAGTTCTGCATTTTAGTCATTTTATGGAGAATACATAATAAATAATTATATATGAGTATCACGTACTATATATGGGTTTGTTTTTATCTTTTCATATGATATTTTTATTGAAAATGTATAATGAATAATTATATACAAGTATCACGTATCAAATTTATTCTTTTATGATAATTTTTTATTGAGAATATACAATAAATAATTGTAAACTGGCATTGCGTACTGCGCCGGTTTTACTCTTTCTTATGATAGAAAATTTTTTTTCGTAATAATTATATACGGGTATTGCGTATCGGGCTTGTTTTTATCACGCGTGTGCAGTACACGTGCCAGATGTAATGACTTTCCATGTTTTTTTTTCTTACAGGTTTTAGATAAGAGCTTTCAAGTTATTAGCTGTGAGATATGTCCCAAATCCATATTGCAATTTACGAAGTTGTGGCATTCAAAGAACCTCTCCTTTGTTTCCCCCTTCAACCAAAAACGAAAATTTCCCAAAAAAATCCCAAATTCCATATTTTTTCCAATTTTCAGAATTCTGTTAACACTTAAAATTATTTTATTTAAAGAGATATTGGGAATCTCTATCAAATGAAGTATGTAAATACCAAACTTCAGCTTACCAACCTCAGTAGATTTGCAGATGGAAGCCAATGATAATTCGACCCCTAAGGTATTCTTTGTTTCCTCCTACCTATCTCTTGTCTTCTTCCTTTTTTTTTTTTTAAATTTTAGTGGAGAAGAAATTTCTTTGACTTCATTTTCTTTTCTACTTATTGCTTTTTATAATCTGGGTTCTCTTTTTTTTTTTTGGAATGCATAGATGAATTCTGTTACTGGGTTTTGCTTTTTTCTGTTGACTGACTTTAGTAGAAATTTATTGGTATTTTACAAGTTAGAAGTTTTTCTATGGAACTGTTATTGTTGGCACTGGAAATCTTGTTAAAAGGAAAATTCCCTTGTGGTATTGAAAAACAAAGATATATGCCCGGGGGAGAGGTGAAAAGGAAGAAGTTAAAAAAGTTAAAAGAAAACAAAAAAGAATGATAATGAGTTTAGTTTAATTGCTGGAAGATTGTAGCAAAGGATAGATTAGAATACAATTTATATATTGTCTTTGTTAGTTTGAAGTTGCCATTTTTTTAAAGAAATGAGGACTTCGAAAAGTGCGAAGCCTGGTTTCTTATGGTCTTTGAGTATGATGAATGAAATTCACTTTCTTTAGGAAAATGCTTACAAGTAACAACTTCAGCATGCTGTGATAATTGTTTGGATGCTGGAATTCAAGATTACCATCCCTGCTTATTTCTGAACTATTGGATATTGTTCACAGAATTATCCATTGCGTTATCACTAGAGTACCTAGTAAATATATACTAAGTGAATGATTTTTTAGCAATGCATTTATAGGTTGCCTTTGTTAAGGGAATTTATAGAGTTGTTTCAATGCCTTAAATCTAGAAAAAGTGATGGTATACAGTATGCTTCCTTTATTACTGCCTTCTTGACTTGATCCATTGCTGAATAGGTAGATCTAGGATTAGCATTTAGTGGTAAACATGTCACATACTCCTCGAAATTAAAACTCATGCATTACATTTGTGTACCTACTTTATTGTTTGTTGGTCTAGAGGATGTTCAGTGGCAGCAGCCATTAGATGTTGTGGTATATATCTATATTTGTATTCATGCCATCCACAGGTGCCTGACAACATACTCATCGTTTATGTTTGTTATCATGTAAAGCTGCAGTCAGCTATTCCTTTCTCCAGTTCAAAAACTATCGTGCTCTCCGCTGGCATCTGGTTTTATTAGTTGATTTATTTATCAATGTGTTTCATATAGTAGCCCTTTTAGAATAAACAAAATAAGCTTCCGTACATACTTCGAAATAAATAAATAAATGCGCTTGTCTACACACTTTCTTCCTTATTTCTACTATTTTTGATTCATTCATGTGCAAATTATGTACACAAACAGTTATTATAACCATCTCTATTTACATGAACAATGGCTATGTTAAATGACATCATTCCCCTCAACCCCACCTGATAATGCTATATTCCTTGGAAATTTCTTTAATGGTATGACAGTTACCAAGTTCTGTTCTATTACCGAGTTGACTCAAACAAGGCCTTGTTGTGCAACAATTTGTTTTAGTTCTAGGTCGGACATTTAAAGCAGGGTGCATACCATATACTTATCGTTTTTGTTTCCAAGATAGTGTGATTATTTATTTCATTTTACTCTATAGTTACCTCAGCATGTATCTGATAAATAGTTGTTAATTATCAAGGATTACTACAAAATTTTGGAAGTTGATTATGATGCAACTGATGAGAAGATCAGGTTAAATTACCGGAAGCTTGCACTGGTCAGTGGTCTCTCTCTTTTTTTTTCCTTTTAACTCTTTTTATTTCTTGCCATCGCTTCATTGATAGGCTTTGACCTTTGTTTGTTGATCTAACAGCTCCTTTATTTGAATAGAATTGAGTTGACTGGAGAATCTTTTATGATATTTTTACAGAAGTGGCATCCAGATAAGCACAATGGTGATAGTGCTGTTACTGCAAAGTTCCAAGAGATAAATGAAGCTTACAAAGGTGATTCTTCCGTTTGGCTGGAACAAAAAAATTCACATTCTCTTTGCCATTTGATTCCCACTACAATTGAGTGCAACTTAATTGGTCACCCAATCATGGGAGTTATACTTCTCTTATGTAGAGCTTCTTCTAGAGCATATGGCATTTGACGAATATATTAAATGTAATGTTCATAGCTTTTGATCTTCTCTTATTATTATATCCTTTTGCAGTGTTAATGGATCCTGATAAACGCTTTGAGTATGATTTAACTGGAATATATGAGATTGATAAGTATACTTTACGGGTAAGAGTTATGTTAACTTATATGCTATCATAGTCTAGAATCAGCAACTTATGTTTGTTTACAAATAATTGGTTGATGCCTCATTCTAATGTCTAGGACACTCTGCAATTTTAATGCAGGAATATCTTGCCAGATTTAAAGGAATGATTCTTACTTGCAATGGGCTTGGTATTAGTCATACATCAATATGGTAATTCTTTTGACCATCTAAAACTATTTTTTTTTCATGGGGAGAGGGGGGGGTGGAGGATTGTTCATGTCATTTGAGTGACTATTTTCTGTAAAAGTCCAATAGAATAGAACCATTCTCATATCTGCTTTACTTGGGTGATGAGCACTTTTTCTTGGTATGTTTTCCCAATACAGAAAGTGTTGACTTAGGCATATTTTAGTTGACAGATGATTGTTTCTATGCCTAGTTCAAAATATAAGGACTGTGCATATGACACATAGGACCTATTTTGAAACTTGCTTAATGATGCTTATAAATGATATGATAGAAGATAATAGTAGATGTTGACATGAATATATACCACATGTGGAGAAGCACATATATGAATCTAAAGCTTATTATTGGTATTTGAAGAATTGTAAATCCAATTGAAGCGTTAGGGGCATAACAATTATAAAATACTATAATTGCACAAAATCACAATGATGATTAAGGGCATAAAATGACACATGACAAGACATCCATTCTAAAATGAAGTCCTGGGTGATGATATAGACATCTAATGAAAGGTATCAGCTTTAGGTCTGCAAAACAAGAAACAAACACAATTGCTTATATAGCATATAATAAAGGTATTAAAACTTTGAAAGTCCAGTTTCGGTGCCTTGTTTGCACTGGTCTAAGCCTTTTTGCGAGCTTTGCCTGTATCAGTCACTAAAAATGGAGTAAATCAGTTTCGTTGGAGAAATATCCAGCTAATATGAATTTAGATCCAATCTTGGATTTGTTTTTTTTTTATTATTTCAGTTGAGAGAGGCAAGAAAATGTAGGAAGTGCTGTAGGTGTGGCATTTGTTTGTAGACATAAATTAATTACAATAATACATAAGTTATATGCTGCAAAATAGCAATGAAGCTATTAACCTTTTCGGGAGCTATAATACAAATAAAAATCCAGAGGTTGTATCATGCTGTGTGATTGAAGGTGTGACTTCTCAGCTGAGTTGCCATTAACAAGTTTTGGTTTATCAATTCATGCTAGCTATAGGTTTAAGGTAATGGGAGAAATGGTTTGAGTTTCAACGAGAGAATGGTGGTAATCTGGTAGGGCCAGGGATAGGACCCGGCTGTAATTTGGCAGGATAAAGATGCATTTCTCACAAGTGATGAGGACTATGGTCTTCCAAAGTTCCTTGTGTATCAAAAATGCACCTCTTACTGATCTTGAAGCTACCTTCTTGGTTGGTTTTACAGGGTGTGCGTGTATCATTAGAATTTTGTGTGCTTCCTGTAATTCTCTGTACTATATACTAAAGAGTCACAAAAATGTTGTATTTGCAATCATGCGCCACTATATAACTGGTATTAGAAACCTTCAAGTATAGAGGTCAAATGTGTGCTTCTTTTGAGAGTGTAATATCCTAGTCTTATCTTGAGTGAACTTCAGGCTTGGTTAGGGAAATTGAGTTTTCATTGTTAGAAAGATTCATAATCATTGAGAAGAAAATTGTCTTTTTCTGTATTATCTATAGGGAAAATATTCTTGGAAGTATCTGCTCTCCCTACTAGGTTTGGGATGGAGGAGAAAAAAATTTTATCTAATTAAACACCATATTAAAATTACACGTTTCTGCGATTTATAATGTAGATTGTATTTTATTTTCCTTATTCAAATTCTTTTACTAGCATAAAATTTATAAGCTGCCCATCCAGACATTATTTGATGACTAGTATGCTCTACATATTGAACTAACTTTGAAGTTCGGAAAGTTCATACTTCACTTTTACCATACAGTTCATAACTATTGAAAGTGCTTGCAGTTCAAAATTATTCCGAGTACTTTGTTCTTTCTGTTCCTTCCTTTCCAAATTTCATACCATAGTTTTCCCGCAAGGGGTCTGCTGTTTTGGTTGGTGCCTTCTGATTCAGTTGTTTCCCCTTCAATATTTTGTATCAGATGGCAGTAACCATATCACTGCCAGAAGAAATTAGACCTGCTAAGCAGCTTATGAAATGCTTGTGCAGTGCCATACGTTAGCACCTTCTAAACAAAAGCTGATAGGAGTTTCCTGACTTTCTATTAGAATTGGGTTTGGTACTAATAATAACCTTGTTTGTTAATGCAGGACGCAACAACTAACAGAAACAAATGACTTTGTTGATGAATAAGGTTTGCTCTTATTATTCATTACCTTTTAAAATGATTGCCTTGTTTATATACTTAGTGACTTAGAAATATTGTTGAATTTAACATGCCAATGTCATTTGATTGACAGAGCCATTGAAATGAATTGAAAGGAATAATCATCTCTATCCTTTTGTACCTATTGGAGCTGAAACCGAATCTCATCTACTTCGTCCTATTATTACATCCTCAACAGTTCCTGTAATCCGTATCAAAATTAGGCATCATCATCGAGTAAAAGGGACTTTTCATCCTGCTATAAGATGTGTTTCGATGAGGCCCTTAGCTTGTATGAGTTTGATAGAGTAACAAAATGTATGATTGATCTATAAGTTAGACATGGCATGACTGATTCCGCCATCTTGCCTATCTAAAATTATGTCAAAAAGAGTTCTTTGACCATTGCTTGTATCAGTAGTTTGATGGCTTTGTTCACACGAATATAATGCTAGTTGAATCAATCTCTCTAATTCCACGACTCATTAAGCAACGGTAGCCTGCAAACAAAGCATAGAGTCTATAATACTATTAAAACAGTTGTGATGAGAAACATTGAAGGCAATTATTTTCCCATTTAAATAATGTTTAAGACAAAAGAGGTTTTGCAAATTTGGATTCCCAAGAAATCCCTTCATCGTCTGTCGTTCTGTTTGGTTTTTATGTTTGACAGCGGAAAAGTATGGTTAGTTGGTCTGATTTTGGATGTATGCGCCGCCCACTTGTCAAGGAGCATGTTCTAAGAAAGCAATTTTTTCAATAATTGCGGCTCCTGATTTATTTTGTTTAATAAAATTGCGTGGATGCGTCTCACCGACCGCATCTACATGAATCTCCTAGACCCTATTCAAAGGTAAAATGAATATTCAATGGTACGGAATACAATTATTTGCAAAGAAAATGGGGAAAAGAAATAAAGTTTGGACTAAGTAGATGCAACGAGGTCTGGTTCAATTTTTAATTAACATTTTTATCTAAATTCCTTCTATTTTTATAATTTGAGATTTGGGTTAAGTCAATATGTCCAAATTTGTATAATTTTTTTATTTATTTTTCTATTACTCGCTCAATTAATGAAATTGCATATGAACGTTAATTAATAGAAATAATGTTGAAAAACATACATTTTAATACAAGAAGTAACTCTTTAATCAAGCCCTACAAGAAGCGCTTAACATTTGCTTTTGATTGTTTCGTATAGAAAAAAAATATATAATATTTAAAAAAATCTTTTTATAATTTATAACATTGATGGTGGGGAGGGTGAAAAATTATTATAAAAAATTTTATTTATATTTAATACCATTATTTATTATATTATATCAACATTACATGTCTAATAATTTAATTAAATATAATAAAAAAATAAATATTTATTTGAATTAGGAAAAAAATGTCTCAAAATTGTTTTTTTTTTTCTAAAACAAAAGTGATATAAAATGATATCTCATGATTATAAATAGAAAAATGAAAATGTACGAGGAAACTACGTCTTAGCGCAACATATTTTTTTTTATTAATAATTAGTGCAACCATTTGAGAATCTCAATGGACGAATTGTATGTTGAAAGAGACAGCTTCATGAATATTTTTAATTTAGTTGATGATCTATACAACAAAAGGTACTTGGATTTCAACAAAGTTTAATGAAGGATCCCAAGATAATATATTGAATAAAGGTTTTTAAAGATTATAATATATCTATATATATATATGGAATCTTATACTTTTAGAATCTCAAGGGAAATATTTACATGTGGGGCTATGAAACAAAGAACAATAATAAATAAATTGAATAAAAAAGCATTTTGAAGCATAATTTACAATGAAAAAGGTGCCCTTGTGGGGGGAACAAGAAAAGAAGCAAGAGAAAACTTTTGATATTTATATTTTGAAGAAGAAACTTATGAAGAGAGACATTATACAAATTGAAGCACCAATAATTACCTGGGAGATGAGAGTTCTTGGGTTCTGATCTTATACTCAGGAATTAATTCTTTAATTTTGGCCAAACTATTATATTCTGATATATGTTACTTCTTGTAAGTTTATATTTCTAAAAAAATATAATAACGTATTTAACAAAATATGTGTGTATGTAATTCGGTACATGTGTATGCATGTGTACGTATAAAAAAATTAATTATTAAGTTAAAAGAATTTGAAAAATAATGAGATATTATTTTAATGATAAAAAGAAACATTCTTGGGCAAAGAACTATGTGGCTTGAATTAAGCCAAAGCAACACCGTAAACTAGGAAAAGATCCCTTTCAAATTCTATATTATAAGTATTTAGTTGAATTAGCAAAAATAATTTAAAGTGAGTTTGCTGTTCTTCATGTCATGATGGTAGAGCTTCTATGAGTACCCATTCGATCAGTACAAAGTCATTGTCTTATTGAAGAAAGGAAGAGCCAACAGCCTTAGGGAAAACGAAAAAAAAAAAAGAATCCTTTGCTGTTGTTTTCAATTTGAAAAGTTCAATGCTTATGCACTAGTGAAAGAGCCCTTTCTTTTACGCCATTCATTAATGTCAATAACAACAGTATTATTGTATTTTTAGATGTAAAGTCAATGGTGTATGTACTTCTTTATCATGAATACAGGATTTCAACATTCTTAGCACTTCTAAAATGAGGTTATAATTAACAAACTAGGCTCAAGTTATTAACAATATTAAATGATAAAGTATCTTTATATATTATTGGTTGAGTTTTTTAATTTTACATTGACAGAAATGTCATATGTCTATTAAGTTATAATTAAAATATTATTAAATAAATATATAATAATTTTTAAAAATCACGTAACGAAAAGTCAAAAATTATATGGTTAACATAAGACACAATGAATCATATTTAATTATCTTAGAAATGAGATGATTAAATTAATTATTTTTTTATCGGGTACAATTTAATTCATGACAACTCATTTCTTTTTCATTAAGAATTCGTAAATTAAAATTTTTTGTCCTTTAAATTATAAAAGAAAAAAAAAAGGTAAAAGAAGACAAAATTTGTCAACAAGATTAATGCTGGTTCATTATGCAGGCATCCCAAGGGTTGTTCCTGACTTCACTCTTTGCCATTTCTTGCAGAAACAATGGATTGAAATTGGCAGAGTTCAGAAGGAAATGAGAGCCACAAAAGGCAGCAGATAAAAACATTTTCACTAAATGCCTTGTCGGTCCAGACTCAAAGAGAAATACATACAACATGTGAAATTTGTGTCAAATGGTATGAACCCATCGTACTTTTTCATTTGGATTTTCGTTTCCATCTTGTCTTTTCTTCCAAACTTTGACAATTTTTGTTTAGCAAATAGAAGAAATTATATGATACCCCAGCAGGGACTGCAGATAAGTGATAACCCTCCCCATCTGCCCTCCTTAGCCCCTAACACTAAGTTTTCTCTTTTTCTTTTTGGGTCCACAACTCCAACAGATTAATTCAATCCAAAAGTTTGTTCATTTCGAATAATTAAGTGATTTTGAATTAATTTTCATTGGTGACTTTTCCATGTCATTTAATTTAAAATACATATTTCTTATAATAAATTGAAGCTCTATGCCAAATATGACAAAAAACATACGTGAGAAGTTGTGTCATAAACCCCAAAGTTTGGAATTTTGCGTAGCTATGTTTCCTCACTCGCTCTTCCAAATTCTCTTCTCTTCTCTTCTTTCCCTATTTTCAGAATAAGAAAACTTAAAAATCAAAATAAAAACTCTTCTTTCTCAATGTATATTTGACACCGAAACATATATTTATTATATAAAAGAAAACAAAGTCTTCAATGTTGGGTCCTTTGAGAATTGAATCATCGACTGAAATTATTAGTCCAAGTCTGGGTTCCAAGACTATGATCTGTCACATAATTAAGTGAGCCATAATGCTTAAATTAACCCTTCTGGCATACTAATAACAGTAGCCTACCACCTTATCCTTGAAGATCAACAAAAGTAGTTGAGAATGTTCAAAACTTGAAACAACTTGTGAATTCATCACTTTAATTTACTTTTTCAGCAGCCTGCCCTGTATTAAAATTTCAAAATGGTAAAGCTCAACAAACACAGAATTAATGTAAAATTTTCTTCCCAAATGCTCTTAAGCTATTTCTGGCAATCATGTTTCTCAGTTCAACATGCTAAATATACGCTAACACCAACAAGATAAGAAAAAAGAAAATGAAAAACCCAATAAAGATTGATGTGGAAATACAAACATTACAACATATTTTCTTTAATTTTTTAATAAATTTGTTCCAATTAATCAGAAGCGGATGAAATAAAAATCCTGATATGATCCAGAAAAGTAAGATTTTGAGGCCTATCTTTTCTTTTCACATAACCTTTAGCTTCTTTCTCCGAGTATATCCGAATCCCTTCTCTCCCATTCCTCTTCCACATCTCCTTCTCGTAACTCTTGTGCGCGTAATACGCCTCCGCCGCGCACGTTAACAAATCTTCCTCATTTTCTTTGTTCCCGCTGTCGTTCCCGTTGCCAGCCGGCATCAGCCGGATCGGCAGCCGCTCGTAGTGCCCTCGACTCGTGCCTTCCAACTCGTCGACGCGGGCGAGTCCCCGAGTCGACACGGCGTACAACTCTCCCGTGACCCGGTGCCCTGTGCCGGGCATGTTGAGGAGGAAAGGGACGCGGTAGGGCCCGCAAACGAGAGGGTACTTCTCCACGGTTCGGTAGCTGCCTTTGAATACGGCGTCTCCGGTTCGCATCAAATCTTGAAGGAGCACGTGATTGGAAAAGCCCCGTTTCAAGGTACCGTACGTGAAAATGAGGTTCGTACAGTTATTGTCCTCTACACCCATTTCTCTCTTTTTTGAAAATGGAGTGGGTGTTGCAATGTTTGGTCACCGACGAAGTGAGGGAAATTTGAAGAGAGAAATAGACGAATTGGAGTTGAAGAGGTGGGGTGGGGGAGTTCTATTTATAGGGGATTCTATTTGGTTGGTTAGGAATTTTAACTGTAAAAATTCTCCCGCAGGAATTTACGGAGGGTGAAATCAAATAGAAAAGGCATGATAATATGGATCTTAATTAGATATTTAATACTCTTAGAATCTATTGAGAATCTTTTTAATTTAAATCTTTATTTGGATTAATGTGGCTTATTTGGAATTTTTGGATAAAAATATAATTGATTAAAATTAATTCAAAATTTCTTTTGTTCATTTTAAAATTAATTATCTACTAATAAAAAGGGTGGGTTTTGTCGTATGGTAAGCACTTTGCAGTAGTTATAAGATGCACGTGCAAACTACCAAACCTTCCCGTTAAATAATTTACACAATATTGCAGTACAGGCTGATTCCATTCAGATCTTTTGGATCTTACACAACCTTTTCTTATTATGAGTAAATTTTTTTCATAAAATTAATTAAATAAATTCTTCTAATCTCGTAATAAAACACGTTTGTTAAGAATTAACTTCCTTTCTGTATAATATTTACCGATAAAACTTAATTGTTAAACTAACTTCCTGTTTGTCAATAATGTTTCTTTTGGTCATTCTATAATTGGCAAGTACTTGCTTAACTCCTTCCGGCCGACAGAGAAAAAAATTGTAGTTATATGAAGCTGTCACGGGTTCATAATTTCAAGAGACATGGTGAAGAAAAACTCTTGCTTATATAGATTCAAAACTTATCATTAAACTCGACAATTTTATTATGACACGATAACACGAAACGGATTTAAACTCATTATTAAATTTGACAATTTCATGTGTGATACGAGTTTAAACTATTCACTAAACTTGACAATTTTGCATATGACAAGAATTTAAATTTATCAGTAAACTTGATAATTTTGTATATAATATGAATCTAACTCATCACTAAATTTGACAATTTTATATATGATATGATAACATGACATAGGTTTAAATTGAACATTAAATTTAACAATTTATATATGATACAACAACAGACATGAGTTTGAACTCATTATTGAATTTGATAATTTTATATATTATATAAAAAACTCGTGCTTTCAAATTCTCTTAAGTGGCGTTTGGTATCAGGGATGCACATTCCCTGCAATGTGACTTATTAAATTACATTGCAGTGTTTGTTTTGTAACAAATCACTGCAATGTAAGATTGCAATGCAATCCACATTGCAGTCAATGGATGTAATGTGATTGCAGTCCAAAACCAATGCAATCACATTACATTGCACTCTGAATGTTCTTAAAGACAATTTTACCCTTCAACCTTATTATCTTATTAAAAAATATTTATAATATTATAATTAAAATAAATATATAATATAAGAATAAAAATTAAATAAAATAAAATATAAAAAATTAATATTTATATAATATAGATAAAACAAATTAAAATAAAATATATATAAAAAATATATTAAAGAAATGAAAAAAAATATAAAATTATAATAAAAATAAAAATAAAATATATGACCTTAAAATATATTTAAGAAATGATATTATATAAAAATTAATAATATAAATATAAATATATTAAAAATAAAAATAAAAATATTTATATAATAAATAAAATAAAATATATGACATTAAAAATATATTTAAGAAATGATATTATATAAAAATTAATAATATAAATATAAATATATTAAAAAAAAATATAAAATATTATAATAATAAATAAAAATAAAAATATGATATTAAAAATATATTAAGAAATGATATTATATAAAAATTAATAATAAAAAATATAAATATATTAAACTTATATTTTAATAATTAAAGGTAATTTTGACAATTAGTATTACATTCTCATTAAAGTACTTATAAACCAAACACTGCAATGTTATCAATCACATTACCTGTAATCACATTGCATTGTAATGTACCAAACGCAACTTTAAATTTTCTTTAATTGAATGTTTTGATCAGGCCTAGGGCCCAATATGCTAAGTGGAAGGACCTCAAGATGCTAACCACAGCAAGCACGAACGTGAGTGCTCTCAGGTCCAGTAGAGGAGACGAAATCATGACAGCGGATGCCAAGGATTGGCAAGGGTAACCTACGTCATAGATAGGGTAGGGTCAGAAAGGGTTGAGATAACTATTCTCTCTCCGATCTTCCGATTCCTGCGCTGTTCCTATTCTTGCCGAGCCGCGTATTATTCGGTCCAATAGATTCACCTCCAGTTTATAATTTCTACATTTACATGTATCTCATTAAACTAAATAGATAACAATGGAATAGTCTTTGATTCTAACTGATTTCAAAGGAGTTAAATTGTTTGAAGGCAAAGACAGAGGTGATGGCACAGCCCACCGTCGACTGTGGATGTTCCCTAACGATGAGTAACAAGGCTCTTTCATTTTCAGCTCCCCAAGGGGCCACTCGGCCGTGCTATCTTCGATAACGACAAAAGAGGAAGCATAAACAGTTGATAGTTGATTAGCCATTACCACCAACTATCAAAAGAGTGATACAATTTCATGAACGATAGTATTAGTAGCCCCCGCCCCCCACAATAGTTGTTTTTGGAGTCGGTGGATGACTGTAATTTTCACACAATTAATTGTAAACAAGATTCATGATAAGAATTAAGAATAAGGAAAATACTAACTTGCACATAATTGCCAAGTGATGGGGTTGATGAAGACTGCAATAATGCTGTGCACAGGGTAAAGCATTCACGACCTGCAAATTGCAACAATGATAGGCCCTAATCTTCAGAAAAGAGGTCTTGGTTCGTAGTTGTTACCGCTGAAGAATGGCATTTACAGTACTTGTTCTGCATCAAGGCCTTTTCAGTCCCTATATCAAACATTAATCAGAGTAGTCACTGTGGAAAGAGGTGACTGAAATGGTTTTGGAAAGACCATGCCGGCATCAGTGGGCAAATTGCTCAAACTTTAGAAGCCTTGCAGCAAGTATGAAACAACGGAACACGAGTTACACTCGGATTGGCTCGACAGTGTAAGGTTTCTCAATGAATTCATACTATAACATGGACATGGACAATGAGTGATTACTGATTCAACAATGCAGAAATCTTAATTAGTCAAAGAGATGAGCAAAGCTTATTTACCCGAATGATTTTACTGAAAAAAAAAAAAGAAAAAAAACAAAGGGTAGATGAAAGAATGATATGATTTGATGACTTTTGTGAGCAATGACATGACATTTCAGTCCAAAAATCCTGCAGGGTTTGCCGTGAAAGCTGGGCTCAGCGCCTCCAGTGTGTCCCAGTCGCAATAGTAGGCCCAATGTCGATTGCCAACAACAATTTAAAGGCCAATGCTCTTTCTTCCTTTTTTATATTTCATTATCAATCATTGGATAGCCTTAAACAATTTTGTTCAAAAATTACTACTAATAGATAAAAACACATTAATCGTAAATTTTTAAATTAAAAATTTCGAGTTTCAATTTTAACAATTTTTAAAAAATAAAAATATATAAGATAAGTCTATTTTAATAACTTTATCTTTATTTAAAACTTCTTAAAGTAATCCAACCTCTTCCCCGCAGAATTTTATAAAATTTAAAATTCGATAAATCTTTCACTGTAAAAAATAATAATAATAATAATAAATAAATAAAAGATATTAACATGCAAATTAAATCTTATTTACTGACAGATAACCACCCACTGTTTAAAAAGTACATAACCACTTTATTTGGGCAAATAGAGAAATATAAAAAAGAGTTTAAAAGATAAAGAAGGCACCCATTGGCTGCGTGTAATGTATGCATCTAGCATGTAGAAAAGCGACGTTTAATGGACAAATTAAGAAAAGTAGGGAGGCATAGAGATTACGTGTGAGTGGACTGACTGATTCTAAGGTTCTACTTTAACTTTATTAGTATTGTATAATGTCACTTATTGCACAAAACCCTTCAATTGAAAAATATAGCTTGGATGATAGCGATGAATAATAGATGAAGTGTGGGATTGGAAATAGCAAGTAAACAAAGCTAAATAAACAACATTAGATATCATGTTAAGGCGACACTCAAGGCTTTAATTAGATTTTCCAATTATGTATAATTCAAAATTCTTTATCTATATAATAAAATAATTGATGGATGCAAAGTAAGAAAATGAATTATAACAAGACAAATTCGGTGTTATCTCTGTAGCTTTGGAAGAACTTTATTGTATATATAAAAAAATAGAACCCCATAAAGGGATACGTTGAAAAAATCGACATAGCCTAGATTTTAAAGAGAGTATAGTAACAAAGGCTTATCCTATACACGAGTCCTGCAGTACCTACCCCATTGGATGAGAATCATGCAACTTTTTTTTAACAAAAAATATTATTTTAGAAAATGTGCATGGTTTTTGGTGATAAACTTTCTTATATTAAATTTCTAACACGCACCTTTTCGTGTAAAGTAGATCATGAATAAACAATGAATAATTTCATGTGAACTTAAATGTAAGAGGAAAAAAGCAAATGAAATATATATATATATATAATAGTGTGATTTAAATTGTTAAAAAACTCAAATTGATAGGAAAATATTTGGAGATTCATGCTGTATGTTGAGTAAAAACTATAATACCACATCGAATCTGTAATCGAAGATCTCATAAAAATAGATTCGAATCGATATTTATTATTATTTTTATTTTATATATATATAAATTATATTTTTTATTTTAAAAAACATTTTAACTATTTTTTTACCATGATAGACATACATTCAAATTATATCATTAATAATTTGTATTTGATATTATAGCCAGATTATTTTATTAGATTTACTTGCTCATACCATTTAATTCTTTTGATATTCGAATAAGATAACTTTTAATTTCAATCTTTAAAAATATATATATATATAACACCCATACATCTTATTATTATTATTATTTATTTTTTTATCCTCTGCATGCACCGAGTCTTCATGTTCAACAGGATTCCAAAGTGAAATGTTTGTTTCCATGTTATATGCAAATGAGGTGGCAGATTCCAAAGGCCTACCTTTTTACCACACCATGCAAAAACAGGAGCCATGTCTTACAAAATATGTCTAACACATGGCGTTTTCACCCTCTTTGTATTCTAGCTGATTCATTACTTTTTCCACATGTCAGAATCTGTCGCCTCCAAATGTCCACGCTGCAAACAAACATCTGTCAAACCCTTCAAATCGCCAAACTCAACCTAACTCTGGCCAAGCAAAATTACTGGAATTTTCCCTTTAAAAATTAAACAGAAAAGTATCAATAAAAGAATAATAAAAATAAAATTAAAATTTAAGAAGGTGGTCAAGTTCCTTGAAATAAACGCATCTAATATCTTTGGTTTAGGTTCGGATAGAGGTTCGGTTGAAGACTTTTAAGCCAAAGATAAGCACCTTCCATGCCCCATCCTCCACCCACCACTACAAAGTAACCCCACTTCTTTTCTTCTTCTTCTTCTTCTTCTCTCATCCCTTTTTCTTAAGAGAAAAAAAAAAGGGTTTGCAAAGAAAGTTTCTCTTTTCTTTTTACCAGAACAGCCTCTAAATGATCAATATTGATCAAGAAACAACAGTTAGAGAAATCAAACCAAAAAGCAGAAGAATCATGGTTAGGCCCCCTTGATGGATTATCTTTGTTTGCTCACATTTCTTTTCCTATTGTTTATTGATTCAAATGCTTATATAAATAGTATATATATAGATTGGAATGATATTTATTGTTGAGATGATGATGATGATGATGATACTTTTGTTTGATGATTAATAAAATTTGCGTTATTTAGGGAGGAGGAGGTCCAAACGATGATGATGATAAAGCGGATGTGAAGTGGCCACCATGGCTGCGTCCACTGCTTCAAACGAGCTTTTTTGTTCAATGCAAGCTCCATGCTGATGCTCACAAGAGTGAATGCAATATGTACTGCTTGGATTGCATGAATGGTGCTCTTTGTTCTCTTTGCCTTGCTTATCACAAAGAACATAGACCTATTCAGGTAATAAGTTCAATATCTTTCTTGTTTCTTCACCCGCCGTGTTGATGGCAAAAGATGGAAGAAGAAAGACTAAAATTTTTCCGCTACCAGAAGTTATACATCTGTCTTTGATCATAGGCGCAAAATCTTAGGAATTTGCATTGGTTTCAGCAATGTCATGTGCCTTTTTTTTGGAGGACTTGACAAGAAAAAGGCAAACGAAAATTGGTTTTTCTGTTTTTTTTTTTTTTATTTTTTTCAATAGTCAAACCTTATCATTTCAATACAACTATCTTGATACGGCATTAAGCCCTTGTTGAGTATTTTCATTCCATTGACCGAATTTTTTGCTGAAATTGAGATGGGATTTTGTTTTGTTCTTCTTTCCTTGTTGTGCAGATAAGGAGATCTTCATACCATGATGTGATAAGGGTTTCTGAGATTCAGAAATTCTTGGACATAACAGGGATTCAAACCTACATTATCAACAGTGCCAGGATTGTCTTCTTAAATGAAAGGCCACAGCCTAGGCCTGGCAAAGGTGTCACCAATACCTGCCAAGTCTGTGAGCGTAGCCTCCTTGATTCCTTCAGCTTCTGCTCTCTTGGTTGCAAGGTAATTATTTATCTACATTTATATATTCCTCTAATTTATTTTCTCCAATCAAAAATGGGGTTGTCGATTTTTTTTTCTCTCCCCATATTCCATTTATCTTCCTGCCTTGTATTTTTTTTTATGGCTGTGAGTTTATTTCAGATTGTTGGGACATCCAAGAACTTCATCAGGAAAAAGAAAATGTGCAAGGAAACAGACGGGTCTGATGCTGAGTCATTGAGTGGAGTGAACAGTGGGAGTACGAAGAGCAAAATACAAAGCTTTACGCCGTCGACGCCGCCCCCAACGGCCGTGAATTACAGGACAGCCAAGAGGAGGAAGGGAGTTCCTCATCGAGCTCCAATGGGAGGACTCATTATAGAATACTAATACAAATAAAGCTTCTCTTATTCTTCTTTACTCAACTGATATACACTCTTCCCCACCTAGCCATGTCGACATCTGACCCGTCACTTTGAACGCGGTGTTGGATTATTATGCACAAATGTATTGTTCATAGATAGGCAAAAAGACTACAAAAAAAAAAAAATTGAAAAAAAAAAAAGATCAGATTAAGAAATATTGGATAGTAAGAGTAGTGATGTGTAGGTCTTGATATGTTTTCTTTTGCTTACAGAACTTTTTATTGTATTGTGGGGTTTAAAATGTGTATTATTATATCTCTGTATATAAATATATAGCAGCTGGATGTACTATAAGAGAAAAATTGCACTGTGGAAATGAAATGAATGGAGTGAGTAGACAATTTATAAAAGATGGTTGCAATTGCTGTGACTGGTGATGACATTCCTTTGTGTGAAAGTACTGATCTTTGTGGGTACACTCTGCCCTGAGAAAGCTTCGCTTAAAGAGAGAAAAAACAAACAAAAAAAAGGGGGTCTCAAACGCGACCAAGGGCGCGTTAGACATCAGTTTTGCAGGGTAAGTCCTGGTGCTTTTTGTTGTTCCAAGTCGAAATGGTATGCATGTTTTTCTGGTTGGAGTTCTTTGAAAGAGTTTCAACACGTTTCTCTCAAGTCTTGTTGTAATGCAATAAGACTAGCTTTGTTCCTTTATTTTTTTTTTAATTTATTTTCTTGTTTAGATAATGGAGTAAAATTTTGGCTGACATTTAGGCGGTTGATGATAAGGAATTAAAGATTAATTTAATCAATTTGGCATCATGATGAGGAAGAACAAGTCAATTTTCGATGTCAAATCATAATTTTTCTTTTTCTTTTTATTTTACTTAGTCGGTGTAATCCCATTAAAGTTCCATGGCATTGTGCAAATTGAGAACATATAATAATTGGAAATTAGGTGATACATGAAACATAAAAAAGAAGAAGCTTGATTATAACAATTTAGATTTGACTTGATGGTAATTTTTCCTTTGAAATAATTAACTACACCCGTAATATAAATGCTAACCTCAATCACCTGACTGTAATACATTGGTAGCCAAATTGTGATATAAATTGCCAAAAATTTGGTTTAGAGAGCATTCAAGAATGATTCTTATTGTTTGTATAACTACCAAATATATCAATTAAACAATCGCAATGCCCGTGATTTTGTTGAATTTCTTTTTTTTTTTTGGTTAGATGACTGTACACTCACACAAACTCTCTAACTAGCTCAACATTAGCTTGTAAGAAAGAAATATAGATACAGGGGCGAATCGTCCCTTTGTAATGGTCTCCAAAGTTTTTAAATTTTTTATATATTATATTTTTTAATAATTTTTTAAATAATTTTTTTATTAAATAATTAATATAATTAAAAAAATATTAAAATAATTTTACAAACTTTATTAAATTTTACTCAAACTTTTAAATTTTTTTGAATTTTTAAATTTCTCCTCATCTTTTTTTCTTTTCTTTTATGCTTTGTATTGTGAAATTATAAAAAGATCAAATTTTTTAATTTTTTTTTTTTTATATTATTATTATTTTATATTTTCAATTATATTCTATTTACTCATAAATTTTAAATTTCTATAGATTTTTTTTTAAAATTTATACGAATCATCAATCATATTTTTTTTTGTTATATAGGTTATATCTCTTATTTGTCATTTTTTTTATTATGTGGATTTTATTTTTAATAATTTTAATTTTTAAAAATTAAAAATTTATTATATATGTAATTCTCAAATATAAGTTATAGTGTTGCATTATTGGTTGTTGCTTAAAATTTCACTAATATATATTTTTTATTAATCCTAATTATATAAAAAAATAATCTCGAGTATATATTTTTAATGTGCTTTATATTTTATATTTAGTTTTAAAAAAATTATTTTGAATATAAGAAGAAATTATTAATTCTATATATCGTATTTAACTATTTCTATTTTATGCATTATAGTTTAACATTTGGTGTTATAAACTTAAATATAATAAAATAAAAATATTGATGTTAACTACATTAATTTTTTAGTTGATTATATTGAGAAATATAAGATTTAAAAACAAAATAAATGATAAGTTTCTTACAAATAATTTAATTATTCATATTAAAAAAAGATATTACCATCATCAAATAAAATTTTTCTAAATCACCATTATAAGTTTTTTTTATTTACATATTATATAAAATTATTATTTATTATAAATTTTTTAATTATTAATAATTAATTTTAATATATTAATTTTAAAAATTTTTAATTTTATTCTTCTTAATGTTTGACCTCCTCAGTAAAAATTACCTAGCTCCCAGCATAGAGAATGATTATATTTTTCCTATAATTGCTGGTTGGTAAACTCCTATTCAAGTCATTACTTGTTCTTACATTCCTCGATTTTAGGAACTCAAACTTTTCTTTGAATGGAAAGGTCAATCCCATGCACACACCTCAAGTTATGCATTTACTTGTCATGGTGCTTTAATTTCCAAAAAGAAAGATTACCATAGTTATAGCATCCAATATGTGATGTTACATATGTATATATATATATATATATATATGGTGTTAGTTATCACTGGTAAATTTAATTGTAATTTTAATGTATAGTCCTCCCTTGTTTCAATTTTTAAAAATGCCACATAGAAAAATAGTACTCTCTCCGGTTTTTCTTTTCACTTTCATGAAATTAAAAAAAAAACAATTTTAACTTTGACGTAAATATATTAAAATTTTAAATTCTTTTTATAATTTAGATGGTCAATGTTTTTAATATGAAAAATAAATTTATAATATAGAAAAAATAATTAGATATATAAAATGAAAAAAAAAGGCTTCATTTAGAGACATCTCAAAAATGAAAGGTAGACAAAAAAAGATAGTAGACGGGGAAAATAATTAAAGGAGGAGAAATTAAAAAAATAGCCCCATTTTTTTTATCATTATAGAAAAAATCCCTTTGATGATGGGGAAGTTGATTAAGTCTTTGTATACCAACAACACAAGTAATTTAACAATATTTGCAATTCCCCTGCAAAGTTCCATAATAATTAAAATTCTAAATTACAAAATAAACCCATCAAAATTTAAAAATTAAAGTTCCATGCAATTTCTGGTAAGGTCTTGAATTGACACATACTTTGTCTTTTTCACCGGTAATACCGGTAAAGGGCCAAATTTTCTTTTTTTTTCTAGAAAACAAAAAATCAAGTAATATTTTTTTAATTTAATTGGCGTGAAAGTGATGGGGTGCACGCCGCCCTTAGAAGTCGAAGCACCTGAAAATTGCCGTCGTAATCAAACCAACTTTAATACCCTCCAGACGACACGTGTCCATCAGACTCCAATAATTGTACATTGGTCAGTTCTGAGCCGTCCGTTGCATCATAAAAAAAAATTTCATCTTTTGCGTTGTACTTTGTTGAATAATAAAGGCAATAGACAAAAAACAAAAAAAAAGAGAGACAGACAATGGGGTTATTATATTATTTATTAAATAAAATAATGATTATTATAATGTTAAAGTCTTGATTATGGTGGGGTTGGTGATGGCTAAATCATATAGCACGATTTTAATGTTAAATTATGGGAATTTGAATCAAATCCGTATTCTTTGACATTAACAAGAATTTCATAATTATCTAATTAAGGGGATAAAAAAATAAAAAGTAAAGAAAAAAATGGTCATGTGCTTGGGTTTCTATCACATTGAAAATGAACTCTCTCATACATTCAGAAGAATATATTTTTTTCTTTAAATGAGAAAAATTTATCCTCTACTTGTGATCAATAATTGAAGTGTGACGATAGCTTTGATGTTTCATTTACGAGAATTATTATATCAAATGCAAATAATTAATAATATAAAATTCGTAAATCACACTCAATATATAGTCATTAAGCACGGTTAATGACCCATTAAAATAAGTAAGATACCGAGCCTGAGTTATTGGTTATAGTGATTGTTGGGGGATTAGCCAACCCAGTCTAAATTAATTATTCATTGCTGCAGCAAATGTTGGAATATTGTTGGGAATTATTTTGTTATGTAAATGGGAATTTTGCAGTATATATTTCATAGTCAGTCAGGAAATATCAAGAGCATAACTCTTAATGTTGCAAAAACGTTAAAAAAAAAAAAAATCATTTCATGCCAAGATGATTCTGTCTTCATTTTGAAGAAATGAATAACCTTCAGAAAAAATGTTCCATGTCAAGCTTTAACCTTTTAATTTTTTTTAATATTTATTGTTCCATGTGTTATAAGTGATTTTTTTTTTACTTTTAAATAATAATTTTATACAAAATATAAATATTTTTAAAATATAAACTTAATTGTTTATAAATAAAAGACAATTATAATATAAAAATTATATAGTTTAATTATTTATAAATAAAAATTTGTAATATAAATCTATAAATTATTCAATATTATTGTAATTGAGAAAATATTTTTAAAGAAAGTCATTAAATACAATTAAAATTCTTATTTGCAAATTGAATAAATTTTATTAATGTGTATAGTAAAAATATTTTTAAAAAATAATTCAATACAATTAAAATTTTGTTATGTTTACAAATTCAATAAATTTTATTATTAATAATAATATATAAAATTATAATTTAAAATTATAATGAATAAATATGATAATTTTGGTCAATCTAAATTTTTCTAACATTCGTAATTTTACATTTATTATGCCAATACATATAATTACGTGTACAAGTAAAATTAGAATTATACTCAAAACAATGAATAAACAAATAGAAATTGAATATAACTGAAGAAAATCTAAAATAAAGTTGGATAAAAAATTGATGTAGTGTTATGAGACTTAAATGGTTTCATGCCTCATCCTTATCGCTAAGACAAGACTCTATCAATCATGTATATCAAAATTTTACCTCAAATCATGACATATGAAGGGAAATGTATTTCCCATGCAATTACGCGCTAATTCTTTTCCCTATTTTTCAGTCACCAATTCTATAATCATAATTGACATGTGAAGAATAAAAAATCTGTATGAGCAAAATAAAAAGAAAAAGAAAAACAAAAGAGAGAGA